TGGATGGATGGATGGATGGATGGATGGATGGATGGATGGATGGATGGATGGATGACATAAGCTTCCTACAGCTGTTTTCTTCAGAAGAGCTGTACCCCAGAAGCCCCTCCATTTCATAGGACACTAGAACCAGGGACAGACATCTCTAAAGACTTACAGGGTAGAATTTGGTGTGTCTCTCCCTTGTGGCTGGCCCAGAGCTGCTCACCTGCCTGCCAAGACCTCTGTCCAAGACCCCCTGTCTCCCAGACACCTGCAAGAGCTTGTTGAAGCTCTGCAGCCTGTGTGGTTTCTGCCTCAGGCTGCTGGGAACAATCGTGGCCACCACCCCAGTCAGTGCCCATTTCACAGATAAGGACACCTGGCCCAAGTCGGTGGCAGTCTTGGGGCCGCAGTGGCCCTTGCACATTCTTCAATTCCCTTTGTGCTGTGTCTTCCACACTTCAGTAGTTAATGCTTGAGTTAAATATTTAAAGGGAAATTGCTAGCAAATGTGGAACGGAGGTTTAGCATCTCTTGTCCAAAACGCTTAGAACCTGGGACCAAAAGTGTTCAAGATTTGGGGTTTGGGAATATCTGCATATACATAATGAGTTGTCTTAGAAAAGGGATCATAGTCTAACCGCAGAGTGTATGCATGTTTATGCATGTGAGGCATACATACATACACTCCAAGGGTAATTTGACTTCAGTACATGTACTGCCAAAGTTGGCACCTAAAGGTAATTTTATATGACATTTTTTCATGGTGTTGTGCATAAAACCCAGTTTTTCCTGGTGTGGAATGTTCAACTTACTGGATTACATCCATCCTCAGAGTTTGGATTTTCTAGTTGGAGACTCTCAACCTGTATTTACTTGATGCCAGGCACAGGGCAGAGCATTTGTGCACCTTTCAAGCAATCCTTAGGGGACACTGTCATTTTTTTCTGGCTTCACAGAGGAAGGAGGCGCTAAGGACCTAGTGTGACTGGAGTTGGATTTTAAACCTTCTGTTGTACTGTTCTCTGGAACCCGACTCAGAACTACCAATTCCGCCTGCCTGTGCCCTGATTGGAAGTTGGGGCTTATAGAAGGACACTCATATTACATACAGTCCAAGGCTGACCCAGGACTAAAACCTGACCATAGAATGGTCCCTCCAGAACAGGTGAGGATGGAGAAAGCCCTTCTTTCCTCAGCTCCCTCCACTAGATCAATTGCTAGCTACCCTCTGCGGACTGCAGAAGCCAAGATCAATGCTACAATGTGGCTTCACCATCAGCAAAGCAATTAAGTTCAATTCTGGTTGATAGGCTCAGCTCCCCAGATGAAAACCTGCTGCAGGCTGCGGGAACTGGGGATGGGGTGCAAAGCCAGACTAGCTCTACATACCTTCTTCTCCCTCCCTCCCAGCCTCCTTCAACACCCTCAGGCACGGAATGCTGATTCCTGGGCAGAGGATGGGACCCCAACCAGTCCCCTGCTCCATGTGCATTTCACTTTCTCCCACAGCAGAACCAGAGATCTTCAGAGGCAAGGTCCAGACTATCAGAAGGAATGGGACCTTCTGGCCCAGGCATTCAGAGGGAGAAGGTACAAGGCTAAATCCGGAATTGTGCAAGAGATGACCCAGGAATGCAGACCCACTGGTAAACTATACGGGGGTGCGGCAAAACACTGGTCACAAACCCATCAACTCTGTCTGGTTACCAGACCTCCTTGCTGGAACTGCGAAATCCTCGTTTTTTAAGACTCTGATGCCAGCTGCAGGCACGATACAGCTGCCCTGCCTGGTGACTTTCCCCGTTAGCCACACCCATCTGCTGCGTGGGAACAGAATGGTGTGCAGGATTTCCTAGCCCCATTTGCAAAGTTTTCATTTGCTCATGCACTGAGACGCTCAGGTGCTATTGGGCCATGTTCTCTGAACTGTTCTTGCTCTGCTGGGTATAGGAAGAGAAAGTGAGGCCTGGTGATAAAGGGGTAGTCCTTTCTTCCACGTCACTGATCAAGGCAGCCAAGCCCTTTCTGAACTTAGAGCTTAGAGCTCTGAGGACCTCACTCTGGCGGTGAAGGGCTTTTTTTTTTTTTTTCTTTTGGGGGTATAAATAAAACCTGCTCTTCCTGGGTGTCCAACAGACTAACAACTTCCCAATGTGCTTACGATCCAACCCAAGGCCCTAACTATCATATTAGCCACAAAGCCCAATCACACTGACCTCTTTCTGGCCTGGCATGCACCATGCTTCTTTTTGTTTATTTGTTTTGTTTTGTTTGTTTGTTTTTCAAGACAGGGTTTCTCTGTGTAACAGCTCTAGCTGTCCTGGAACTCCCTCTGTAGCCCAGGCTGGCCTCGAACTCACAGAGATCCGCCTGCCTCTGCCTCCCGAGTGCTGGGATTAAAGACTTGCGCCACCACTGCCCGGCTCTACCGTGCTCCTTGGGACCTTTGACTTGCTGTGCTCCCGTCCTAGAGTGTCCTCCCTGGCCTTTCTTCTGCTGCTTTCCTCCTCCCTAGACAGATCCCAGCCCAAAGTCGCTTCCCCAGCTGCCATTTCTAAGAGTGTCCCTCTGCCTGTCACTTCCCCATCACCAGGCCTGACCTTTCTTTTAGACAGAGTCTCTCTATGCTATAGCCCTGGCTGTCCAGGAACTCACTATGTAGACCAGGCTGGTCTCAAACGTGTACCACCATACCCGTCTGATTTTCTTGGTAACACTCCTCAGTTCTTCACTTAGGTGTGTTTCATGTCTCATCCCCAAGAAAACAGGCCCAGTGGGAACACAGCCTTGTCCACTGGTTACCGCCAAGTTCCAGGGGCCTAGCCTGGGGCTTCTGAGAGGCTTGTCCAAACTCCTAGCACAGGCAAGCGGCGGAGCTGCGTGTCAGTTCCTGCTAATAACTGCACTGATCATCAATTAGCACATGACTCAGTCCCAGCCCACGGTGATGAGGCATCCAAGGAACACACCCTGCCGGGTACCTGAGAACATGGCCCCTAAAACCCACGATGACACCTTTGGGGACCTTCATCCCACCTTGGTTGGGTCATCCTCGGGGTAGTGAGGCCAAATTGGAGACAGACTAGTCCCAGGAGGCAGACAGTCCCCGTAGGGCCAGGCAGGGCCAGAGCCATCCAAGCACACAGAACACAGGGGTTTTTTTTTGCCTTAGAGAGGCTGGGCTCCTGCCAACAGGTGAACACAGGTTTGTGGCAGGAGGGACGAAGAATGGGGAAGGGTTCTGGGAGCAGAAAAGGCCCCTCCTCCCCATCCTGAGGTATGAGAGAAATAATCAGAAGAGCAGAGGTGCCGGGAGAGAGAGTGTGTGGATAAGACAGACTCATGGGACCCCAAAGCCTCCGGAGGGCTCTGTAGTAGACGCCTCAATGAAGCTCAGAGATGGCTCACGAGCCTGTGCCGTGAGTCTGAGCCTCGAGCCTGAGAAGACCACCCCCTGACCACTGCACCAACCACATCTTTGTGCCCAGAGTCCCTAGGAGGTCCATAGAGCACCTGGTAGGCTCTGGCCCAGAGCACAGGGCTGGCATCTACTCTGCCAGGATGTTTGCTGTCCAGGAGCCTCGATGAGACAAATCAACCCCAGGAGGAAGCAAGCTCAGGCAGTTAGTTGCATTCTGTTTTTAAGACTGGGACTGGGGACCAGCGGGGATGTGAACAGGCAACGTTTTTATGTTTCATTTTATTTGCTTGTGGTTTCTTTGAATGACACCACGAAGGTTTTGTTCCTAAGAACTAATTTTAAAATACATATAAAAATATCTCCCGGAGTTGGGAACTACTTGCTTTGCTAGAAGAGGCCTTGCGTGCGGGGCGGGCTAGGGGAAAGCAGAGCTTGCCGGGGAGGAGCGGATAGAAGAAGCCCTGGGTGGGTCCAGCTCCCCGCTGAGAGCAGCAGGAAGTCGTCCCAAAGAGTCAGCAGGAGACGTTTAGAGAACAGTGTCATCTGTGACAGCTTTAGAGCCCCCTGTGGAGGCGAGTGACACACGGAGACCTGCTAAAGGAGTCTGCTCCCCTCCCTGCTCCGGGAGAGGGCTGGCAGGCGGCGGCAGGCGTGGAGAGAGTTACCTCATGCCGCTCCCTGTGCCTAGCCTCGGGTTACTTTCCTCCTGCCAGGAGGTCAAGGTGTCCACAGGCGGTCAGAAAGAGAAGGCCTGACACAAACAGGGAGAGTCTTCCCTGTCCAGGAATGCTTAGTCACCACCTTCCCGAACAGGAGTGATGGCCTCTGTCTCTCTACGCACGTCCCCTGAGACGGTGGGCGGTCCGGTGATCCAAGAACCGGCAGCATCCAACCTGATGCTGCTCCCTTCTCATCTTCCTTCCCGATGCTCCTCTCGAGGGTAAAACTTGACTTGGCAGGACCCTAACCCGGGGTTCTCAACCTAGGGGGTCGCGACCCCCCGGGGGCTAGCATGACCTTTTCCTGGGGGTCGCCCAGGACTATCAGAAAACACAGGTATTTACATTGCGATTCATAACAGTAGCAAAATTACAGTGATGAAGTAGCAACATACGTAACTATGGATGGGGGTCACCACAGCATGAGGAGCTGTATTAAAAGGTCTCAGCAGTAGGAAGGTTGAGGACCACTGCTCTGTCTCTATCTCCAGGCTCTCTCAGGAACTGAGGTACAACTAGGCCCATAGAAACAGAAGGCTGCTCCAGGCCTGTCAACAGGAGGCAGCACCCTAGACGGACTTCCTGCCCACCTGGTTCCTCGCCTCTGGCTCCGACTCCAGGCCTTCTGCAGGCCTGACCTTTTTACCCTAGACCTGCCAGCTGGGGACCCTCAGAGCCTCTCCTCCTTGCAGGATGCAGAGAAGTAAGTAAACAGAGCATCGTGGGCCAGACAGCAGAGCTGGGGACAAAAGGTAGCAACCACAGGCCAGTCCGGGGCTTGCTGGGAGGCCCACAGAGAGCAGCATGAATGCCCTGTACGGCATTCACAGAACCTTCCTAAGCCGTGCACCTGCTGGGCCCTCGTCCAGACTCAGCCGCGGTCTACCAAACATTTAGACGCTTTACTTCTCTCCAGTGATTCTGCATCCATCTCACCCAACGGAATTCTGCTCACGCCAGCCTTCAAGGCATCTGTTTGGGGTGGATGTTGGCTTGCCATCACCCACTACTGTCCTAGACACACAGGAATGACCAGGAGTCTTCTGGGCAGAGTTCTCAAACTCCAGTGCCCCTGGGCATCTTATTAAGGTGCCAGTTTGACTGTTTGAGGCCTGAATGGGGGCCATTTCCCAGGGAAGCCTGCTGCGGCGGCGGCGGCGGCGACTGGCCAGGATCATTTTAAGGTTGGGGGTGGGCGCTCAAGTCCCTACAGCTTCTGAAGCCAGAATTGGCTGGATGTCCTTTTCAAAAGCAGGCCACACCTCAGAGCACCTATTCAAAAACCAGGGTGGTGGGAGCAGAGCCACGGACAGAGCTCTGCCAGCCCAGAGGCCTGGCCAGGGTGCTGTCCTGGGTGCTGAGCACAGAGCAGTGGCTGAGTCCCGGCCGCTCTGTTGGGACTCACGGTCACCCCGACCCAGGGATTGAACAAGGAGCCAAAGTGGTGAACAGAATGAAGTGAGCCAGGGGAAGGCTCCGTGGAAATAAGAAACAGTAGCAAGAGAAAAAATGGAGACTGAGGGGAAGGCAAGGAGACTGCTCCGAGGACGTGACCCTGAGTAGAGATCTGGAAGGAGAAAAAAAGGGATGCCCATAAAAGGAGCCAGGCTAAACACTCGGGCAGAGATACAGCAAAGGCTGGGAGACAAAGGGGGAGGGAGTACCCCTGAGGGCTCGACCTACCTGGGAGACCCTGTAACCTCTAGCCTGGACTCCCTGAGGAAGGAAAGCAAAGGGTCTATTCTCATCACGCTCTCAGAAGGCAGAGCCTCCCAGCCTGCCAACGGCGTCTTCCAGAGGTCAAGCTCGGAGTTCAGGGCTAGGGCAAGGATGATGGCAGAGTAGGGGAGCTGGCCGTGGGCGGGCAGCGCAGCACCTACCTCTGGCCGAGAGCTTCTTGGTGTTGATAATCTTGGCAGCATACTCCTGGCCAGCCAGCACCTTCACACACCTGCGCACCACGGAGAAAGCTCCCCTGGAGGACAGAGAACAACATCATACAGTGAGGGAGCCTGAGAGCTGTATCCCCAGGCCACCAAGAGCTCCCGGACCTATATGGTACTCCCAGACCTATATGGTACTCCCATGCCTATATGGTACTTCTGTGCCTATATGGTACAGCCATACCATACAGGAAGGGACCACCTATGTCACAAGAGCTGAGGACCTGGCTTAAGGTAGCATTGGTCAGGAAGATCGAGAGAGGGGCCCAAATCCTTGGCCTCATGCAAGCTGAGCCTTCCGGTTCTATAAAAGTTAGGTCACCAAGTTATAAAACGTTAGAGGCCTGGAGTGAGAACCACAGAATCTAGGTCTCTGAGAATCTTCAGAGCTTTGTTCTTTGAGCAAGTAATACATCACATAGCTCCGAGTTCAAAAGAAGTAAATATGTAGACCCTGAAATGTCTAGCTTCCATTCCCAGGTCTCAGCCTATGCAGGGTCCTCTCCACCAGGGCCTCTGTTGCTGGGGCCTGGAGTCCCTCCTTGTAGATCCTCCCCTCACACAGCACAGGCAGGGATATCGTGCTGTTTTCTCCTTTCTGCAGTTAACTTTGGTTTTCCTTTGAGACAGGGTCTGACCATGTAGACCAGGCTGGCCAAGAACTCAGATCCACCTTCCTCTGCCTCCCAAGTGCTGGGATTCAAGTCATGAATCACCACACTCAATGCAGTTAATGTATTTTGAAGGCCCTCTTTCATAAATGCCTCTTCATTACATAATACATAATTATATGACTGTCCTATAGCCTAGTGGCTTGGCCAGTTTCCTCACTGAAGTCCCCTATTGAAAGGCAGCCGGGTTAGGGTCAGTCTCTAGCTATTAGAAACAACACCCCAATGACCCTGTATGTGTGCATTAGAATTGAGTTAATCCTAGCACCCTAGAGACAGAAGCAAGCAGATCTCTCTCTCTCTCTCTCTCTCTCTCTCTCTCTCTCTCTCGCTCTCGCTCTCGCTCTCTCTCTCGCTCTCGCTCTCGCTCTCGCTCTCGCTCTCGCTCTCGCTCTCGCTCTCGCTCTCGCTCTCTCGCTCGCTCTGAGTTCAAGGGCAGCTTGATATACCTAGTGTATTCCAGGATAGCCAGGGCTGCATAGAGAGACCCTGTGTCAAAAAAACAAAAACAAACAACAACCAAAAAAACATTGCATTTTCTATGCATGCCTGAGTCTATAGGATAAGCCCTATGTACTTGTGGTTTTTGGTTGATAATGAAGCTGTATGAACTTATTTTCCCAATAGTATGTGTTATGGGTTGAATCTGAAATGTCCCCACAGACCTGTGTCTTGATTTCTGTTCCCCAGCTGCTGGCACTGTTCGGGGAGGCTGTGGAACTGTTGGAAAGTTAGGTGTGGTTAGCAGAAGTAGGTCTCTAGGGCCCAGTCTTTGGAGGGTCCACCTAGCTTTGGATGCAGCCTTCTTCTCTTCCTCTTCTTCTTTTTGGTTTTTTTGAGACAGGGTTTCTTTTTATAACAGTCTGTCCTGGAACTTGGTCATTCTGAAGATCAGGCTGGCCTTGAACCCACAGAGATCCATCAGCCTCTGCCTCCCTAGGGGTAGGATCAAAGGTGTGTTCCACCCATCCTGGCTGTTTTCTGCTTCTTGATCTGTCATGATGTGAACAGACTATCATGTGCTGCTACTTCCACGAACTAAGCTGCTCTGCCTAGTCAAAGAACTGAAACCCTCTGAAACCGAGAGCCAAGGTAAACCTTTCTCCCTGAAGTTGCTTCTGTCAGGTAATTTTGCCATAGTCATACAAAAAATTCACTAATATAGTATATATACACACATATATATGTGTGTGTGTGTATGTATGTGGGGACCAATTTTCTCTGCCTTTGTTAATATGATGTGTTACCAAGCTTTTTTGTATTTGCTGGTAAGAGGGGTAGGAAATGCCTATTTGGTGCAGATTCAGTTTTGTGTGTATGTGTGTGCTGCATGCACGTGAGTGTGCTGAGCCATGTGCTTGTACAAGCACTACGGAGGCCGGAGCAGGATGTCAGGTGACTTCTATCACTCTTTGCCTTACTGCCTTGAGATTACGGTCTTTCACTGAACTGGGAAGTGGCCATTTCAGCTACGCTGGCTGTCCATCAAATTCAGGATCCTCCTGCTTCTGTGCCCCCCAGTGCTGGGACTCAAGGCGCGTGCATCCGCATTTGGCGCCTTGTTTCAAAAGAATGTGAGCAGAGAACCAAAGAAAACTAGTTTGAGGGCTGGATCTGAGCTTGAGCCACCATTTTTCACGGCGCTTCGTGAAGGCCATCTTGTCAACCACACTCACACCACAGAAGAGACTTGTAAGGGGTGTCACCATCATCCCTGTCCTCACACGAGTGACCAGAAGAGAGAGCCTAGGAAGACTTCTTAGATGCAAGCGTGCTACTATCACGTGAATCATCCAGACACAGTGCAAAACCATACATAGTTCAGAGGCCTCCGGTGTGGAGTGGAGATCAGGATGCTGAGCGCCAGTGCTCAGCTCCATGTAGATTGCTCAAGTTCACACTGCAGATTACAAGCAGAGCTTCACCCAGGCCCCAAACATTTGCACTTGCGGGTTTTTAACGCCTACACTGAGTACCCATCAAACTTCCTATTGACCATGCTCAGCTCCCAATAGCCTGCAAACTTCCACCCCCACACCTAAGATGATGAGCGTGCCCATGCCACAAGATGATTAGATGACTCCTGTGAACCCTGTTGTCTGGAAAGCTGCGTCATAATCTCTCTTCTTGCCATTAACATGTGAAGCAGGAGCAATTGCTAGTGGACCCCGGGGAAGCCTTCGGTCCGGTGCAGACCCCAGATGAGCACACTCTAGCCAGCTCAACACAGGGCAGCGAAAAGTAAGTGGGTGGAAAGTGGCAGAGGAGGACAAGAAGAAAGGAATGGCTAGAATCACATGTATACTGAAGGCCTCACACAATAACAGGTCTTCCCTGGGGTGTCGAGCTCCACCTGCTCTTTACCGGTAAGGAAGCAGAGAGACCCCAGTCACTTCCCTGAGACACTGCCTCTACTACAGCACCTCCACTGTACCCCACAAAGGCCCCATATAGGATGGAAAGTTCACTTGCTATTAGCCGACCCCCACAATACTGGCCACCAAATAAAGGTGGCTTCTTGTATGGCAACCAATCCTTGTGCTGTCTGGACCCTTGTTGAGTGTCTGACAAGTCAGTTACGATGCCATCTGGAGTTAGGGCAGATCTACAGGTTAAGGGCTCCATTCTGCAACACCATGCCCTTCCTTCAGATGCTAGCTGTAGGAAGTGGTTCCCCAGGCTGCCCATATTCCTGTACCACTTTGCCAACAATGGGAAGTTCTTACTGCTGTTCTCAAATTGGAGGATTTTCTATGGTAGCTCAGAGAACTCAGGGAAACACGTCTGCTGGTTTGTTATACAATATCAGGCATGGTGAAGAATACAGATGAGCAGCTGGATAGGGGAACAGAGGCCAAAGCCTGGGAGATTTGGGCACAGCTCAACGCCCCCTGGAACTGAGATGTGATACTCTGCTGCCACTTGGATGTGTTCACTGTCCCAGATGTGACCTTACCCCTGCCTGTAGGGTCTTTGTGGGGACTTCATCATGTAATTGTGACCAGTCACTAACTTGATTTCCAGTCCTCTTATCTCCCCAGAGAGTGAAGAACAAGGCTGAAGTTTCCAAGCGTCCAATCAGCGCTTGGTTTTTCTGATGGCCACCTCCATACAGAAACCCGCAATGAGTCACCCCATAAGAGCCAAAGATGTTTCTAGCACCTGGAAATCCCAGGGGAATTAAGAGTTTTTGTGTCGGGAACTGGGATCGGAGATCAAATATGAGAACAAAAAAAAAAAAAATGCTCCAGTTGCCCCTATTACTCAGGAAATTGCAAGAGTTTTAGGAGCCCTGCACCAAAAGCCAGATAAGAAGACAGAAAGCATATCATATTCTCTCAGTCTTATGATCCCACCCCACCCATGACCTGGCCCTTGTGGGGGCTGCTTACCCACTTTCTTGTCTCCCCCACCCCACTAGTGAGTTCCTATGTCTAGCACTTAGTCCCCAACACTCAGCATCCGGAACCTAGGATCTAGCACTTGGAACCCAGTGTCGAGTACCACTAACTAGCACCTCCATAAACAGAACTTGCAAGATCAGATAGTGATTTTAAACAACAGGGAAGGGAGCAGAAATGAGGCAGGAAGGGGGATTTCAGTCAGGAGCGTTGGGGAGAGAAACAGGCATTTGAAGACAAGGAGACAACTGATATTTCAGAGGCATCCATCTTACCTAGGTAGGGGAACGGGCCTGAAAGCCATTACTAGGTTCCTGCCCAGCTATAGACCTTGATTCCCATGAGGCCTTAAAGGGGAAGTGTTTCAGTGGCCTCAATCATCTGGGAAGGAGCAGCCTAGAGACGGTAGGGCCTAGCCTTGTTCACCGGTACCAGGCCCACGGTGGGTTCACAGCTAGACCTTCTTAGTGTGAGTCCGGTGGATGCAATCAATTCAATTGCAACATTCACAGAAAGAGGGGAGGGGGAGGGAGAGGGGAGGGAGGGAGGGAGGGAGGGAGAGAGATTAACTCTCTCCTCTGCAGGCAGTTATTTCCTGTCCTATTTCATAGCACCTCCTGGAATCAGCATTGATGGGGCCACTGAATGGACTCTGCAGGAAGCTTCATGGAACCCAAGGAGCAGGGGCCTAGGAACTACCTCTGCTGAACCAGACCAGGCCCCCTCACTGAACAGGAGCAGCACAGCTTTCCTGTGAGCTGGGAGTTGCTACACAGGGACACCGAGCCCCCGAAGGACATCCTGAGCACATTGTCCAGAGATGCACAGCCTTCCTCGGGTACCCAGAGGAGGCACTTCCTGAGTCAGGACCCAGCTCCTGACCCCAGGATACAGATACTCTCAAGCCCAGGTGCTGCTGGAGTCCCCTTGATCCCACAGCAACCTGAAGAAATCAGAGCC